GAAAATCCTTCTTTAATTTCAGTACTCACCGTTTTCAAAACTCTTTTGTTTCGTTCCAATGTGGAGACATTTTCTCATGTAAGTACCCTACAGATGACACACAAAACCGCTCCCACTTGTCTCTTCCACCGTTTGAAGGAAAATCAGCGAATTACAAATGAATAGATCTAGTGTATCGCTTAGGAAATGCTGAAGAGAACGATCGTTTTCAATTAGTTTAGCAAATTTTATTTTCAACTTACTATTCGGAAATGAATTGAAGAAGAAATACCTTACTAGAAAATATAGTATACATATGCAGCAATGTAGGTATATACTTACTATTTTTTATTTAATTCAATTTTTCTAGTGATTTTTAAAGGAATTCTAATTCTAATCATATTTTCTACTTCCTTTCGTTACTGTTCTACTGTTAACTTGTCGTCGGTATCATTTTTTTTTACTGTGTTGAAACTATATTAGTTTTATATCCCATAATTTTTAATAATCTTTCATCAACATGCAAAGAATAAACTTTAAGGTTCTTTTATAACTCCTGCTTTACAACTACCCTATTAGGCTATAATAATCCCAGTTCTTTTTGTTTTCGAGATACAAAAAATATATTTCTAATATCAATTCTGATTATATCTTCCCAAAAATAAAAAAAACCATATAAAAGTCTAGCAATGTATAAGATAAATTAATGAATAAAGGACAACTGAAAAGCGACTTCTAGGTTTTTACAAAATTACATTTAGTAATGTATGACCTGAGAGGTTTACCCTCTTGTTCCCTGATCTTCCTCCCTTGTGTCACTGTATTAAATATTCTAAAGGCTTTAGTAAATTATTAATAAAGTTCGAATGACTTTGTTAATACAATGTTACGGTTCGTTACTCATAAGGAAACATAATTGGTCTGTAAAATTCATAACCAGTTAGCTTCGCTAATTACGATTTACTATATTTAATTATATTAGGATTTCAATTTTCAACTTGACATAGCGGCACGATAGATATACAAGAAGAAGGTGACAGCAAATATTGTATATAAAAGAAATTATGAGTGCTGTCAGCACAGGGCAGGGTTATTACATAGTTAGTATCAGCAATTTCTTATGCTGCAACGTATTTACAAACAATTCCTTTAAATTTTAATCATTGATTACTATACATCTATTAAAAAACCATAATGGCCGACATCAGCGACAATGCCACAACAATTGAAAAAGAATGATGGCCGATAACTGCAACAATTAGAAAAGAATGATGGCCGACACTACGTCATAGCGGAGCAACAAAAATGGCCGGGGAAAGGGGAAGAACTAGTTATGTTAATATATTTTAACTGCAGTTATTTTTCCATTAAAACTCTTATCAATCTTATTTAAGACAACAGAATTAGCTATGAAAAAAAATGCTTTGATTTGTAATTATTTTGCATGATTTTATTTCGGTCAAAAGGCTTTCAAATGTCAAGTAAAGTGAATATTAATTTGCAATGGAAAATAAAATATGCATATATTGTCAACGTTTCCTAAATATTGTGGATTTTATTGTGAGCCATACTTGTATTATAATTAAGTTTTTTATTATTAGATAAACAAAATGGATTTTTCTATTTAGAATGTTGGGGTTTTCACTATATTGTTAAGCTAATGTTATATGGCAATATTTTCCACGCTTTTGACTATTTCATGATGTCTATTTCAAGTTGTTTACAAACTCAGAAAGAATGATTACTTGGAGAAATACTTCAGAAACAAATATTCCATAATGTGAATTCCAAAGACAAGGAATTGGGCATTTAGAATATTTTTTATATCAAATGCATTCGTCTTCTTCGTGCTTATTAAAAAAAAAGGCCATTGAATTATAATTTTGAATCCATCCTAAAAAAATATCTAATAAGGGGTGTCATGTCAGAAAATATAAATAAAAGTTAGTGTACAGTCTTTGATTTTTATAAAAAAAAATTATTCTTTCCTTAATATGATAGTAAATTATAGTAATTTGTGAACCAATTGGCGGTATGTTTATTACATTGAATACCAAACATTAAATAAAACTTTTCGGACATTTTCCCATTCAACGATTGATTACTATTAGAGAACACTGGGGTTAGAAGAAAATATTGATTTTTAATGACGCTCAACAAGTCAAAAGATTCGTGATTTTTAACTGAAAATTCTGATTAAACGACACCTGTTTACGATAATTTCATAAATATTTATCACGAAATTGTTAAGCAATACATATAAAACTTTTTCATTAACTTTTAATTTCTTTTGAATATTGAAGCAAGCATTACCATCTACCGACTTGAGTTAAAATGAATAATCAAGAGAATACATCGATTTTTTTGGTTTACTTGTTTACTCGTTGTTCGCTGAGAGTTAGCGAAATTAAAAAATTGTTTGTCTTCTTTCTGATTTTCGTTCAAAAAACGGTAGGTACTGATTTCTTTCTGTAATATTTCCATTACAAAGTTATTTTTTGTTAATCATTCATTGAAGACTATCTATTTATTTTGAGAAAAACAACATACGCAAATATTTAAATGTTTTCTTTTGTTTGACCGATGTTTTCTTCAGTACGAAATGTTTGATTGAGATGTTTAATGAAGTTAATCACAAGAACGTCGATTGAACGGTCAATAATTTAGGGTTCCAATGAATTGCAAGAGGGTTTAGTAAGTACACCAAGAAATATAAGAAGAATTTATATTATAAGTGCATGTTCTTCCCCCTTACCAGTCACTGTGAGCTCGAAACTGTTAGACCATTACTTCCAGTGGTCGAAATTCACTTTTGTAAACAATTTGTTTAATCACTTTCTTTGTGTTAAAAATTGTTTGAAAAATTAAATATAAAGGAATTGTTTGTAAATGGATATGCAACACATCGTACACTTCAGCATAAGAAATTGCTGATACTAACTTTTATTTACGTATTATTACTTTGCCCTGTACTGACAGCACTCATAATTTCTTGTAGATATAAAATTACAGTCGAATCTGGCTTTGGATAAGTTATTTCCCAATTTATAATCGATACGTGATCCTAATTCTTAAAATTTAAACAATTCTGGGTCCATTCTCGGGAAGATACGTAATTTATATTCTTGGCAACGTAAGTTACCTATAGGTATGTGAAAATCTATTGGACTATGCACTGTTGGCAAGGCGCGGCGCCGGCATGCGATCGGAAATGGAAGCGCAGCCTTACAATGAACAGGATATTGTGTTGATGATGTATGAATAGCCTTTGTTCCAATTTAGGTCCGATTCATCTGCTTGCTTTTCAATATCCTGACCCGTTTTGCTTTCGGCTGTAGACTAATTGCAAGCTTCGATGGTGTCTTCTTCGAACACAACAGAAATAAATGACTTTACAAATGCAACAGTATCTATGCTGTACATAAAACGAAGCAGTACCAATTTTTTTTTCTTTTGGGTGTTTCATTCCCGCCAGCCACTAATGCTGGTGGGCGGGTAGTCCCTCTGGACTGCGCCGGAAGGTAGGGCGGAAGGCACTCTTCAGTTTTCTTTCAGGATTCGTGGGAACGGGTGGGTGTTGGTTCGGGTGAGAAAAATGAGACGGACGAAATGAAGATTATCGGTGGAATATTATTGCCCCAACCATTTACCTAAGTGATCTAAGGAAATCACAGAAAAAGTTGGACCAAGGCAGACGGACCCGGAATCGAACCGGCGTCCTCCCGAATACTAATTATAACAATAATTAAAAAATATGACTGTGCAAAACACAGCGTGATAAAAAAACATGAACAAATTCCACTATATTCTAACAACTGGAAATTTATTGAAGTACTTGTCTAATTTTTTAAGTTCAAATAAGTATTTCTTTTCAAATTAAAACATCCTTTGCTTAAATTACAACGATCTTGACTGTAATTAAAAGTTTTTGCTAGCGAGTTAATACCTTAACAAGAAAAAAATAATATATTTTGTTGAAGGGATGAAAGCTTATTTAAATACCCATTATTCATCTTAGACTAATTAGTATGAAATTTAGTAAGGGTGAACTGCAAAATGAATTAGAGACGAAAGGGAAATATTATAAACTTAAAATAACAATAAGCTCATTCAAACATTAAGAAAATTCGTACTTCAGCGAGTTTTGTCAGTTTTCTACTGGTTAGTTACGTAGATCATTAAATTATGTCTACTAACGTAATTCAGTAACGTTATAATCTTTTTGATTAATATTACGTTCGAAGGATAATGGCATTTCTTCAGCTGTATTATTCACAGGATAATAGACATAAGGAAAATATTAATATTGCATATATTCACGTTACATCATTAGTCAATTAATCAACTAAAAATATTCAAACGCCTATCACTATCCCATCGCATCACTTAAGGTGGCTTCTTCAAGCATTGTAAATTGCATCAATTGTGTAATTTAAAGTGATCAACAAGAACTATTTATAAATCACAGAATACAGAAATGTAATATTATTATATAAGCTGGCGGAAATTTTAAAATGGATGCGCGGTGGCAAAAGTAGGCAGTTTTAGGTATCAAGATTGCAGCCCTCATTCTTCAGTATTCCTATCAGGGGCGTAGATTAAATATTTCAAAGTAGGGATCAGTGAGCAAGTAATAGACAGACAAACAGAAGAACTAATTGTTGATGTTGGTGACAGTGATAGAGATTCCCATGATGAGAGTGAATGTGAAAACCAACTATAAAATAAAAGCAATAGGTTAATTTTTTCTTTTTGATAAGTCATGTTTTTACATTATTTTCTAGTACGCTACTGTCCTATCTGTATTAATACTATAATTTACGCCTATTTGTGTATCGATTCCAAGTGACTTACCAAAATAGGTCATAAATGGGCAACTACCTTCGCGATCGCTCGCCAGCTTCCTTCGTCAGACCTGTACCTACATATAGCCACTGATACTGATCGCAGCATATATTTTTTAGACAGCAAATTTGTTTTCCCCAATTTTCTGTATAAAAGGGTTTTATCTTTCGTTTCAGCGTGGACTTGGATGTCTTTAAGTGCAGATTATTATTCTGGTACTTTGCGCTTGGATCTGGATTGTTTGCCCAGCAAATTTCATCAGCTCGCTTCGAAAACTGAAAACGCATTCATCAGTATACCAGGAGACTCCCTTGTTTACTTTAGGCAAGAGCCCGGACGAAAAAAGAAATTTTTGGTGAGTGCTTTTACAGTTCGCCTTCGTTTTTTTCGGCTTTTTTACCGACCGCTTTAATGGCCTTAACGTTTTAAATTGACTCTTAAAAAGGAGGTCATTTCTAAGTTATTATCGAGTTTATTCAAGTTGTTTAACTGCTCCGCTTTTCAACTTAATTCCAACGGCTCATGCCGCAGCAAAATGTAAATAAAAAGCAAAAATATACTCTAAAGTTTATAGACAAAAGAGATAGCTGATTCATTAGTTATTTATTATAAGTCAGTGGCAAAGGACATGCTCAAGGTGATTAGTTGACATGCATTTATGATCAATATGGCTTTAATGAGCTTTTTCGATTTGGTCGGTAACTCTTTGAGACTACCTATGGCGTGCTGATGAGATCGAATAGGTTCGAAATCGTTATCCATATCTGCTAATTTTGAGCAAGAAGTTATACTTCTTAAAACAGGAGACATTTGAGAATCTAAACATTAGTTCGTAATAATAAATTGTACACTGAATGAATATAGTCATTATAAAATAACTAATAACATTCAAATTCATTAACATTACATTTCTTGGTTATTTTATGGGAGCCTAAAGTGTCAATAATGTTCATCTCAATTTTTAATAACAAATATGCTATAAAAACAAACTAGAATAACAAAACTGAGGACATTACGTTTATTCCTCGACATGAGATACTTTTATGAAACATAAAATGTTCGCCAACTTTCCATCCTTGCATGGATTTTGAAATTCAATAAATTAAAAATCATAACCATTTAGTTTTCATTGCATACATAAATCAAACATTAAATTATTATTAAAAATCAGATGAAGCTTCTGTATCTTAAACACATTTTCCGGTGTAAAAGTTTTGAAATGTTTAAAATTGATTTTTATAATAAGGGTATTCGTTTTTTTTTTTTTTTATTTTTTACTCAGCTGTTCTAAAAGAAATCTGATATTTTAAATTTCCTTTTCAAGCGGTATTGTACACATAATGTTGTAAGAAATTATTCCTTTTCATATAATAGTTACTTTTGGTAGAGACACATTAGTTTGGAACTTCAGTATCATCAGGGATTGATAATAACAGAGAAGAAGTTCATCATCAAAAAGTCTATTTTGCATAACAATTTTCCCACAAAATTGCGCCTTTATAGTAGTATATGCTAAAGAGCAATTAAATGACAATATTGTGTTCCACATTAAAGTACAGCCAAAAACACAATTTAATTTTTTAAGCACCGGTAATAAATTGTAATCTATTGTAAAACAAATAAAATTCAACTAACAACTTTGTCGTAGAATAATGTTTCATTATCTACTTTAAAGTATTACATCGCCATGTTTAAGAGTGTGTTATTTTGCTGTCCTTTCTCATATTTGAATTTAGTACCTAGTAGTAATACATTATATGTAAATTTAGAAGTCCGAAGACTCCTTCTACTGAATAAGTATAATCTAACACACAAGATCAATAGCGTTTGCATACAATCTCGTTGATCTCTCCCAATTACTACAAACCGTCACCCATTCCCACCATTCCTAAAGGGGGCTGAAAAGACTTTCCTACCACATCTGGTAGAAAAGAAGCAATAAAGGTTTTTATCTTTGATTGTCGGGAAAGGGTGAAGAAAACGATAGGTTATAAATCCTGAAGGTGTTGAAGAAGATAGATGATCGGTGGTTTTAATGAGTTGTTTTAAAACCTATTCTATAAATTGTTTGATTACCGTTCGTTTAGTTATAAAATAGAAAGGTATATCTTAAAATATCTGCAGCACGCACGGATAATTCATACACAGAATAACTCGCGTACGAATAACCAAAGTAGCAATGAAGGTATTCTATTTAATACGTTTGAAAACTTTTACAACGTTGTAAATAATTTTATTGCCTCAAGTGTGCTATTTCTAACTGAATTTCAGTCGTTTTGCTAAATGCATGTTAAAGTATTAACTGTTTTAACGATCAAATAAATAATGTAAAATATAAATTGGCAACATAGCCTTTAATCGATTTTGAGAATCTGCCAACGAATATTGAGTTAGTTTCCACCACACTAATTAATGATCTGCTGGCTACTACAATATACTAATTTTATTTGTTTAAATTCAATTTATTCCCGGAATTGAAATTGGATTATTGCTAGTTTCCAGCTTTTGGAGTTTCGTTAGAGTGACGGACCGTTTATGTTGATAATTTAAATACAAAGGCTAGTGTATTTAATATTATCGTATATAATTATAGAAACCTAAAAATGTAGTAGACTGACCATTGCAATTACTTACACCCCTTCTTAAAAGTGAAAATAAGTTTATATTGTAAACGCTAATTACAGTGGGAAATATTGTTTGTCAAACAGTAATAAATATTTATTTTTCTTATTAGGTAACGAAAATATTTTATTTGGTCTGTAAGTAAATATTTAATAAAAGATGATTTTGAATACAATGAAAAACTGTTAACTGTCAAAATGAATTCATTATTTCAATATTTCTGCACTTTTTTGAAGTGAAACTTCTTTACCCACGGTAGTGTAAGTTTGTTTCATGCGAGTTGCTATGTAACGAACTCATGCAACGCAATACCCCCGCTGTCTGTCCCTTTGTATGCTTAGATCTTTAAAACTACGCAACGGTTTTTAAATAGATAGAATAATTCAAGAGGAAGGTTTATGCGTATAATACATGCATAATAGATCCGAGAAACACTGATAATTTTAGAGGTTTGTAATGTGATGTCGTATAAACACATTTTTTTGCGCTTACATTGCAAACGCTGGCTGAACCCTACGAGATAGATCAAAATAATATACTACAGTATTGTACATCTTAAAAAGGTCTACAAAAAAGTCTGGGATGGTATATGTGTATCTCTTAGGGATAACCCACAATAACCATTTTTTATCCTTTACTTTTTACGAGAAATAATGGCTTATTTACGAATCGATTTTAAGCAATACAGCATTAATCCTTATTCAATTAAGTACATTTAAATACATTGTGCATTTAATATAGATCAATATGGCCCTTTACAACATGTAATTTAAATGAATATTTTCGAAGATATTATACAGACTTAAAATGCAGGGACATAGCGGTTCCGGCAGTACCGGCCGGTTTGTATTGTCTAATGACAAAAAAGACAAAAAAGCTTGGATTGTTGTGTATAAAGTCATTCTATAGTATATTTACTATCAGCATTGCACCCGTGCGAAGCATAGTGTACAAATAATACCATTAAACCAATTCCTTAACCCCTATCCCGGTATGTTTGTGTGTTTGAAGAAGTTTCACTTCAGTAGCGTGTTGTATCTGTCTGAAATACATAATTTCATTTTTACGTTAATCCGGTCCTGACGATCTTCAGCCACTTATTTAACGGTCTCAATAGCTCTTCTGCTGTAAAAGGTTGTAAAGATATCAACGGACTTTAAAAGTCAGTCTATTATATCTTTGAGGTTTCTATATCATGTAATATAACGCATCAGATCCTATTTGAGATGAAATAACTTTCTGAAATTATGGTCTCTTACTTACAACCCATATACTTGTGTGGCACAGCCATTGTTTCAGACAATAACTGTTTTATTATAGTTGATTAATTGGATCATTCAGTTATTGAATCAGATTCATTATAAATTAAATAAAATAAAAACACAAAAAGTTTCAAGGAATATCTGAAACCGTTCGCAAAACAACTGTAGTTTCTGTTAACAACTACAGACATTTCTTCCTTGCATTATTTTATTATTTCATTATCATATAATTAATTAAATCAAGAATGAGGTATTGCGAAACCTGTGCACCTGCAATGCTATTGATCTATCATCGAATTAACAGTGACGCAATAATAAATTACACGTTGCTATGCCATAAAAGAGGACGTTGCTTCCTGATACCTTTATCAGGTTACACAGACAACACATTCTAATTTGTCCTGATGATGTGACAATGGAGATGTGCGAGGGTCTGATAAACATGTACACTGTATGCGTGTGTATGTACATGTAGACATCACGCTGTTGGCTTAAAGGACATGAGTTGTGCCCCGCGGTTAGTCCCATAAATGAAATTATTTAATCTCCAAAAAGGTTACTGTATAGTTGCGCCTTAATGTCAATTTGTGTATAATTAGTTAGGCATCTAGGTATATATCTTATTATTATTGTATTTTGGTATATGAGATTATTCTTCTATACATAATGGAAAAACACTTCTATGTTAGCGAACTGTTAATTTAGAAAGTCGAAAAAGGTTGTTAAAGGTGTATGTTTGGAGCACGGCGTTGTATGGGTGCGAAACATGGACAGTGGGAGCGGCGGAAAATAAAAGGTTAGAAGCGTTCGAAATGTGGTGTTATAGGCGGATGATGAGGATATCGTGGGAAGAAAAGGTTAGAAATGAAGAGGTGTTGGAAAGAATAGGAGAACAGAGGACTCTATGGAAGTCATTAAAAAATAGGCGAGATAGGTTGGTAGGACACCTTCTCAGGCATGAAGGTCTAGTCAGAGACATATTAGAGGCAAAAACAGGAGTTAGGAGGGGTAGAGGTAGACCTAGATTAGATTACTGTTCGCAAATAGTTAAGGATGTGGGCTGTTCTAGTTTTAGGGAAATGCTAAGGATAGGAAAGAGTGGAGGTATGTGTACAACCAGTCTTAGGAGTGATGACCTTATGATGATGATGAAATAATGGTGTGAATCTGCCTGTTCGTCGACTTGCTTTAGATTTCGATCACTTTTTCTTAAATGCCAATAATAAGTAAGAAAACCGCCAAACATGATTAAGATTAAGATTTTATTGAATTAGTTTTCGATCACTTTATCCTATATAAAACTGGGGTGCCTCTATTCAAACCTATGTGTTTAATATCTTTAGCACATATGTAAAAAGTAGAAAGAGAATATTAAAATTTGCATTTCTTGCTATAAAAAACATTTGCCGTAATTCGTTTATAAGCGAAAAAGAACCGATGTCAAAGTGATCGACAATTACAACCGTTATGTGGTCTTTTAAATAGGCTAAAAGTGCACCACACTAGTAATATATAAAAATGAAATTATTGATATATCCTGTATACTTTCGTAAAAAAAAATTCTACCTGTAGTTTTGATTATGTGCTCAGGGGCGCAACTATAACGTGACCTTTTTGAGAGTTAAATTTGTTGGAGTGCAACTAGGCTATGAATTTGGGTTCAACTGACCGCGGGGCGCAACTTACATATACCGACATGTATGTATGAATGATTGCAGCTATATACCTATAATAAAACTGCCACCGAAAAATTTTTACATTCCTATATCAGAGCAGTTGTTCTCCCTTAAAAGTAATAATGTATTTCAAGCGGAGAGAAATATTGTTGGTTTGTAATTTAATAAACAAGTGCCTCAAATACCTATTCTTAAAAAAAAATACCTTATATCACTTTTCCGACAATTTTATTTTTTTCGATTCTGTATAACGAATTGTTTGTTATGTTTTTTGTATCAAAGGTTCTCCAATATTTGATTTGTGAGCTTTATTAAAAATTTCTTCACGATCCCTTGAAAATTTTATAAATCTGAAGCATATATTGCATGAAAATACTAATTACCTCTCATTACCTTTTATTTTTGTTAACGTCATTATTATTAGTGTTAATGTTAAAAGGTGTTATTATTTAAAGGTACATAGCTCAAAATTTCAGATGTATAGAAAGATACTTTAAAATTTAGTAGCTAGTTCTTGAACTAATATTGGTAAATGAGTCGCTTGGCACTTGGTGAAACATGTTTAAATTATAAAAAAGAAACAAATTTAAGAAAACACTTGGTATTGTAGTTTCACAAAAGAATTTATTAAAAACTCTGACAATTGTTTCGGCGATTAAGCGATTTTCTAGGAGTATCTTTATTATACTGAATAAAGTTTTACAAACTTGTTTTAATATTAATGATAGTTAGAAAGGCTACGTGTTCTGTCTGAGTTTCAATAAATGCTTTTGTGAAACTACAATACTTACGTGTTTTCTAAAATTTGTTTCTTTTTTATAGTTCTTGAGCGACTTCTAAAAATTAATATTTTAAACTGATGAATGCATTAGAGAATCCATCATTCGCAATGTAGAAAATAATTCGATCAAAAATAAATGGTATCATTAAACAGAAATTGTTTCTTATCTTCAAATTGTGAAGCGTCCTTTTTCGGTAAAGTTAATTAATAATATAATTGGAGAGGCTTCTAAATGCATTCCAAACGAATTTTTCGGATACACAGAATTGAATCAACATTAAAATGGTCCTTTTTAATTAAATATATTATGTATATCCTTTTTTTACCAACCAATTCTCAGTTTACAAACTCTTTCAATTCATACTACAGAATTTGATCATCTAATTTATTATTGTTTATCGGTATATATTTTTAATAAATTTCACGTTTTGTGGTGTGACATTAATTTCTTTGTCAAGTATCTACTATATATTTACTTTTCTGTACCTAACTCCATCTAACCTCTGCAGTCGATTTTGCGTTGTGGATTATGACCTAATTTGTAGCCATCTTTTTTATTTTAGCATATAAATAACCGTTGTTTAAAAACAGGCAGCAATATGGATGAAAAATATTACCGTAATTTGTCATTATAAAAAATTGACGAGAAAGGATATAACCGTCGGGGCTAATTAATCATTACCTACAGTAGGTACGCGTTTCTGTAATAAACTTTCATATTATATTAATGGTGTGAACTGTATATGCCAACACAAATTAAATAAAAATTGTGTAATACTTTAAGATTCTGCCCTTCAAAATGAAAAAACATTAATTATAAAATCCTCTTGTTAACCTAAAATGATTAAATTAGGCACGGAAAGAAAGTCTTATGGCAGAAGTAAGAGAGAAAACCCGAAATTTTATTGAAACTTCCAGCAAAATATGAACGGAATATGATCCACAATTTCCTAAAGTCCTTTATTAGGTACGCTTTCAAATGAATTACAGTTATTGTACTTTCCTGTATTAATCGAGGTAATCAAAATGAAGAAAATTAAAGGATTCACTGGAGTATTTTTAAACACAATTCAGCGATTTTCTTATCAGTGGTAAACCTTGTTATACCTACTTATCGAAAATATTTTATAAATAGCATATCCAAAGCTTAAGGAAGGCGTATGAAAAATTTGATAGCATAGAAACGGCTAACGTTAAATAAAAATGGTATCATCTTACCTTTGATAATAAGGGTGAACTTTACTTGGTAACGGTTGATGAAATGGAACCGAAACAATGAACAAAGTGAAAAAAGGATGATTGGTCCATTTAGAAAAGCACAATAACGCACTCACGTTTTCTCCGAAAATCGCTCCTATACGAAAGATTTTTACCACGCGATATTAAAACAAACAGGCAAAAACAGTCCGATAACAAGCCTGTTGACCTCGAGAAGATACGATCTAGGACTGACTAATACATTAGAAAGTATAGTAACTTCTTTAGCCCTCTTGTGATAAACAGAATAAATTTAAACGAACAGAAAGAATTTTTACAGAATGCAATAAAGCTTAACTAGACGCATGCGCAATTAATAGAAAAACATTTGACAGTGGTGTCATTTTAGAAAATAAATTACATATATGGTGTTTTATTTTATGCTTGCTATTTGATGTTATCGATAGAAGTATGCCAAGACTGAAAATTCGATGAGGATAATCATGAAAACGTCACTCTAAGCCAGGGACGTATCTAGAAGAGCTCCCGGTGGNAGAAACAGGAGTTAGGAGGGGTAGAGGTAGACCTAGATTAGATTACTGTTCGCAAATAGTTAAGGATGTGGGCTGTTCTAGTTTTAGGGAAATGCTAAGGATAGGAAAGAGTGGAGGTATGTGTACAACCAGTCTTAGGAGTGATGACCTTATGATGATGATGAAATAATGGTGTGAATCTGCCTGTTCGTCGACTTGCTTTAGATTTCGATCACTTTTTCTTAAATGCCAATAATAAGTAAGAAAACCGCCAAACATGATTAAGATTAAGATTTTATTGAATTAGTTTTCGATCACTTTATCCTATATAAAACTGGGGTGCCTCTATTCAAACCTATGTGTTTAATATCTTTAGCACATATGTAAAAAGTAGAAAGAGAATATTAAAATTTGCATTTCTTGCTATAAAAAACATTTGCCGTAATTCGTTTATAAGCGAAAAAGAACCGATGTCAAAGTGATCGACAATTACAACCGTTATGTGGTCTTTTAAATAGGCTAAAAGTGCACCACACTAGTAATATATAAAAATGAAATTATTGATATATCCTGTATACTTTCGTAAAAAAAAATTCTACCTGTAGTTTTGATTATGTGCTCAGGGGCGCAACTATAACGTGACCTTTTTGAGAGTTAAATTTGTTGGAGTGCAACTAGGCTATGAATTTGGGTTCAACTGACCGCGGGGCGCAACTTACATATACCGACATGTATGTATGAATGATTGCAGCTATATACCTATAATAAAACTGCCACCGAAAAATTTTTACATTCCTATATCAGAGCAGTTGTTCTCCCTTAAAAGTAATAATGTATTTCAAGCGGAGAGAAATATTGTTGGTTTGTAATTTAATAAACAAGTGCCTCAAATACCTATTCTTAAAAAAAAATACCTTATATCACTTTTCCGACAATTTTATTTTTTTCGATTCTGTATAACGAATTGTTTGTTATGTTTTTTGTATCAAAGGTTCTCCAATATTTGATTTGTGAGCTTTATTAAAAATTTCTTCACGATCCCTTGAAAATTTTATAAATCTGAAGCATATATTGCATGAAAATACTAATTACCTCTCATTACCTTTTATTTTTGTTAACGTCATTATTATTAGTGTTAATGTTAAAAGGTGTTNTAATTTATATTTGTTAACAAATTCACCTTTTCCCCCAAAAGACCTATCGCATCTCCGTGTTAAGAAAATTCTTGGAAAATCTATCATCTTACACAATAGTCCTTCAAGTATTTTGTACAAAAAAGGACACTTTTCTATTTTCTGAAAAATAATATTTTGACTTATATCACTGCTTTTCAGTAAAATTTCATAAAAGATAAGATGATGGTTTAAGGGAATTTATTACTGCTGAGTATTGTCAGTTGTAGAAACCAATACTTACCTATTTTACTTATTGTTAGTTTCCTGAGAAATTCCAATATTTCACGTTTATTGTACCGTGCAACGTATCTGAAATGGGATAATTTCCGTTGCACTGCTATTCTCTCAGAATCTCTTGGAATTTTAGCGAGAAGGAGCAATCACGTACAGCTACATAAAAGTATTTTTATTATTACTTGTCTTTCCAAGCATTGGGTCTAATCGTAATAATCCAATTTTTAAAATGAAACAAATATATACAGAGATGTTTGCTTATTACATCCGGTTGGTGTGTTTAACCGTGTGTGCTCTGGACAGTCTTTTTCTTCGGTCACTACTTTATAGGACACCCTATATATAAAAGAAGCACTCCAATATGTTCTTACTGATTTGCTAACAAAAAGGTTGTCTAACTTCATGTAATTATGTTTCTTTTATTTGTTTTTATAGGGTTCCATCCAAGTGGCAAAAGTTTTACCGTACGTTACACAGCAGAGGTTGTGGTCATGTTTACAGATATCTGAAAATTTAAGCCCAGAACACGTAAAACCGCTGGTGTAAGTCGACGAAGTTGAGTATGGAAGGGAAGTGAACAATTACATAGAACAACCATGATATGTACCTAACATTAATCACACGTATTGCTTACGATCGAGCACATAATAAAATATAAATACCTATTTAACATTTCCCACACAATAAAATACTCACAATTTCAGCGAAAGTGATTTTCAACGAATGTTATCCTTTCTGTTTTTGTATGGTGAAAATCAGGTAGATAAGATTTTTAAGAGTTTATTATGTACTTGTATTTTCCTGTTTATTGTACAAGATAGACACATAAATAAAGTTATTATTTGGTAACTAGTTACATTATTACTATCATAGAAATTATAGGAATACATCAATGCTATTGGACACACAATTATTTTTTAAAGATGCGCCGGTTAACAGAGAGGTAAGTACATAAGTATTAAATTTAATATGTTTAACCAATTTTATGATGAATTCCTATTTGCTAAATACGTTTTCAGATGAATTATATATGTATTTAGTTATATTCCATGGTTTCCAAAACCTCGGCTGCTACTTGATGGTTTCAAAACTAAAACGTGACTTCGACTATTATACAATTTTTAATAGCCAACTGTAATGTCAGAAGTCGACAGCTAAGAAAGTCACTCACGAAATGTGACCACTTTTTAAAGTATTTCTCTAGACAAAATTTTTCAGTCTCTCTCCAGTCTCTAAGAGTCTTTCAGAGTCTTTCAGCGTCTCTGAGAGCGTCTCTCACAGTCTTTCACAGTCTCTCAGGTGTTTTTATGGATCTCTCACAATCTCTGTATGAGAGACTCGAACGATAAAACTGTTAATTCAGAGATTCGAGTCTCTCACAGAGCGACTGAATGAATAAAAGGGAAAAATTGAGAGACTCGAGTCTCTTGTAGAAAGACTGGGATCTCTGAAATATGATGAACTTTAACCATGTCGATCGAGACAACACTTATTAAGAGATTCGAGTCTCTCGTTCAGAAACTGGATACGAAATGAGGATCACTCTATAAGCGACTCGAGTCTCTTGTTCAGAGACGCTAAATTGTTTTTTTGATAGTCTCTCGACAGTCTTTCTCTGCGACACCAGAGCGACTCGATGAGAGATGGAGACTCGAGTCTCGCTTTCAGAGACTCTGAGAGACTGAACATTTTTATCTCGGGTTCTATTTATTAATATAAGTACTTCTATTACAAATAAATTGCTAACTTTTATGTTTTAGAAAGTAGAAAGGTCCGTATATGGAAACAGCAATAACATAATTTTTAGTCTAATAAAAATACATAGGAAGCGTATTAAGCAAAATTCAAAATGGTAAAAGGAAAGCCATCGAAAAAAATACAGTAAATTAATTAAACATTGCAAAAATTCAATTCATTAATTGACTACATTTTATCGAAACTTGTGTTACCCAAATTATCCTGCTTAATATTCTCCGTATTTAATAATTTAGTGTAGTCAGAATGCATATTTCGCTTTTAGTTTTATTGTCTCCTACCTGCATTAGTAGAATTGCTCGACTAAAACTTTTCAAATTGAGACGTCAATTGCATTTCCTACTGGACACATATTCACAAAACGTTATTAAGGCACACTGCGGATGTACCTGTGTTTGGGAATGTGCAATTTTAAATATATATAAGTATACATACATGTATATGCATACAATACGAATGTGTACGGTATAATAAAGTTTACTTGTTACGAGAAAAGCTCTACAGCAAACATTGTTAAGCTGAGTTACGTCTCGAAACATTCTCATACACATTCAACACGAAATTTTGCATTATGAACTCTAGTTGTTATGTAGTGACATAAAGGCATCCTTTCTATGCTATACGTACTCTACCTACCGTATCTCTATCTACAACTACTACACAATTATTATTGTAAAGTAGCTGATATATCCAAACTAGTTAAAAGGGTTTCCTTGTGTAGAGGTAGTTCAGAATCTCATGCGCCTTGGCGTCGAATTGCACAGTCATAGAACCCTTCCTTGATGGCCGTCACTATTTATCATTGCTGATTATATAGCGAGGCACACAGTTAACAGTGACAGTTAATGCCTCTTGCTCTTGTGATTTTGAACTAGCTATAGCTTATTAGTTTAAATAGTAATATGTGTGAAACACTTTCCGTCATTTATTCTTAAAATTCAGCATTTTCAATTAAATAAAATAGTTTTACTCATACTTTTAACTTGGAACTTTGCGATTAACTTTTCAATTGGCAGTAATTTATCGTTATTAATAATTTATTGTTGTTTTTCTCTTTAGTTATTATAGGTACATTTTTATTAAACTGAATAATATTATCATAGTCCATTGCAATGAGATGTGATGAGAACCCATGCAATTTATTTTTCTTTTTAATAAATTAACGCGAAATTCTAAGATCCTATATAAATAAGTACACAATGTTTGTATGTGACCATCACGATTAATTTTACAACGTTTTCAAGTCTATTGTATCTTCTTCTTCATCACTTACACCGAAATACCTGTGTCCTTATGGCATCCATTCGTTTGGTGTTTTATAATAAATATTGCACTTCAACTCTATTTGCACTATAATATGTCACTTATAAGTTTTTATGTCGCTATACTCGTAATATTTTTCGCACTTGGTGACGAAACTGTTGACGGCTCTGTTGATGGAAGGTTACCAATTGAAACCTTTAGAAAAAAAATATTAGTTTTGTAATTCATTACATATTTACTGAGTAAAAATCATATCAATTAAGTTTAATTTCATTTAATTTTAATTTCAATGAGCAGTAACACTTAGGCATCTCCATGAAATACTAATTTAAATATTATATATAAAAGAAATTATGAGTGCTGTCAGCAAAGGGCAAAGTAGTATTATGTAGTTAGTATCAGCAATTTCTTATGTTGAAGTGTATGATGTGATGCATACCTATTTACAAACAAGTCCTTTAAATTTTAATCATTGATTACTATACATCTATGAAAAACCATAATGGCCGACATAAGTGACAATGCGACAACAAATTAAAAAAATATGATGGCTGACAACAGCAACAAATAAAGAAAATGATGGCCGACACTACGTCATAGTATTGTTCACAAAAGTGAATTGCAACCAGTCGCAGCAATGGTGCTAACAGTTTCGAGCTCACAAGAGCTGATAAGGGGGAAGAACTAGTATTAGGTAAGTAAAAATTTATTGAATATACCTTTGAGTGTCCTGTTAACGTTTCCACCCTTAGACTAGGGGTAGCAGTGTATCTTTCAGCATTAACCAAATCTAAGTGGTCCACTTTGAAATTCGGGTCGGGATTAGGAGTCGATGTCGTTGTTTCTAAATCATTAACTTAAAACAAAAAAAATCCATTTTAATTTCTTTTTCAGTCTTTTATTAGTTAATACGATTTTCTCTTAACGATAAAATTGAAATTCATCATACCTTGTATGCACGTTTTACTACGTAACTTTTTAGTAATGTATGCACATATATACAAAGAAATCTTTAAATTGTAAACGGTCTGTTATTGTTGAGGAAAGTAAATTAAATTCAGTACGTGTAATTGTGCTACTTTCGATATGTTACCGCCATAAAGATGGGAAATAGTTATTTGCACTAAAAGTAAGAGGCTTTAGCTGATTGGAAATTTAAAAAAAAATAGCGATTTAATAAGAATAATAATCTCATCTTAACTTTGTAGATCATAAACATTTAGTAAAGTATAAAAGTAAAACCAAAAAATTTTTTTAGATAATATTTTTAAGTCGTATAAACTTCTAGGTCTTAAGCAACTACACATTATTACATGATATTATTACATAATTAAAACATTTAAATTCTGTCGTAAAATTTAGTCTCGAAGAAATTCTAGTACATTTTTATGTAGTTTTGGGTTATTCAGGTTCTTACTAAACTACGTAGCAAGCCTAAGTTTCCTTCTTTACGTACTCAGTCCAGGGAAGTTATGAAAATAGTTACTTTTTATTATCCTCATCTAATGAGTAAATATTTTTTAATAAAATCATAATTTAAATAATTGGGTCTAACCAGTAGTATAACTATCGAACAGCAAAATTGTGTAATATACAACATCGTCTTTAATAATTCGTAATTCTAGGAGAATATGCCAGTTAAAGATTTTGCACATCTGCTTTAATAAAATATTCCATCCTACAGAGCGATTTTTCTGGGGTGTTCACCCCCTAAAATTTTACTTTTTGCATTACCTGTGTCTGTCACGTCGACAGAAAGATCGTTTAGTAAATTAGAAATTATTTTTTTTTAATAAAAAGGTACGTATATACTTTTTGTTTGATCATTTTATAACTGGAAGGGGCTTTATTCCAGTGTTCACACAAGAGTTTAAGGATACTTGTTACGCCACTGTATCCAGCTGCTGCGTATGTTTCATTTATATGTGCACGATACGACATACACGATTCCTTGGTACGCCACTGGACGTAATATAAGCACGGCCCTATTAATTAAACATTGTGCATCATCACCACTACTGCTTGCTGCATTCCGCTAATGCATCCTTGCTCGGAGAGCTTGCGGTAAGCAGGAGCGTACATATATCTTGGTAACAACGTACTTAACGGATGATCAGATTGTACCTAATAGAGTGATGAATTTAAACCGAGTGTAGTGAGTATAGGTTGGGAGGTTGGGTTAGTTAGTTGTAAGAGACTATACTTCACAAATCGGTGTTGGTGGAAGTCTTCAATCTATCAAACTAATTGCTGAACGTTAAATTTTAGAATCGATATTAATTTTCCCGCTTACACGAATATGCTTAGCTCGGCATTAAATTACAGGAAGAGCTAGAGTATTGTACCTAACGATAAGAGTTTTAGGCCAATATTTTGGATAATTTGTTAGAGTATCTAGTAGGCTGTTCCTAACATTAACAATATTTTAAATTAGATATATTGTTTAGGTTAAAGAGTATTCTGTTTAACAAATTTTTTAATGAGACGATTTATTAAAGGGATAAATAGATGCAAAGTAGTATCTTTATTTTGATTTCCAACACTATTTTGAGATTTATATATTTTTTTTTTTAAGATTATTCGAAGTACAGCCTCTAAGGTGTTCTAATCAATTTATCTTCAACTGAATCTTTCAGTATTGATTGTTACATTGAAATACGATTTTAATATGCAATTTTATGGAGTACTCTGCGAAAGTTCATACAGCAAACAATGAATTTGTTAATTTCGATATCATATTTGTATATTCAGCGATCCCCAAAAACCCCCATCAGTAACAGATTTCGATTCAACTGCAAAGTTTATCTTTCATCATTTTGAATCCTTAATTGTAATTTGCTTTTAGATTTTACTAACGTAGATGTTAATACCATTTCAACAAGAATTTTCATGCTTTCGAGTAGCGTTTGGGTTAAATAAATTCAAAATTTAGATACCTTGGAACATTGGAACCGTTGAAAATTATTTTTGTAAAGTTCCAAAATACTCTCTCACTGTATTTTAACCGAACAATTCTTGTTTATATGCCTCTTAACGGTAAATGTAAAATAATTACTTACTGTGGTGTGGCCATTCGCTGAAAAGAAGCTTTAAAACACTGAAAGCATCACCGCCAGTTCCATTTTGGTTCCTAGAAACTTCATGCCTGGATATTTCTTCAGATATATTTTGCGACAGAGGTAATGGAGTTACAACGTAAACTTTTTCGTTTGTCAAAGGAGAGATTGAAACTTGTAAATGTTCCCAAAATGGTTTTTCTTCAACGGAAAAACTTTCAGTAAGTGTAGTAGGTATGGGTGTTGTTGAATCTGTCACAGGAGATTGTGCAGTGGTGGTCACGTCGTCATCATCCAAAATGAAATTGTTTATTTCGTCTTCTAGTTTAGAGATAGTCTTGTCATTGTCGAGGGTTGTGTATATTTTAGAGTCTGTTGTTGAACTTGTCGTAGTTGTTTCATTTTGATTGGTTTGCTGGAATTGTAGATATACTGATGGAATTGATTTTGTAGAGGATATTTTATTTTTTATGTCTGCTACATTAACGTCTACAAATTTCTTTGAGAATTCTTGTTCTGTCCAGTCGTCAATATTTTTTTGAAGTCTAATTATATCAAAAGGTAATTCGCTATTATTTCTATTGCTGTGTACCGTTGTCTTATGTTCCTCTGTAACCAATGTTGTTTCAGTATCCAACGTGGTTACGTATGGTCTTTCTGTAAAAACAGAGGAATGAATTTTCTGGGACTCCTCTTGAGCATAATCCTTCGTAAACTGAGACCATACAGATTCCTTGAGCAATACAGAAGACATGGGATTTGTGTTAGGCATAATATCTGGTCGTTTGGTTTGCATTGTCTCTTTCAGTTTGAAAGGTGTAGGGGACTTTGGTATGTAAGGTATTATAATTTGGGCATGTTTTTTGTTTAACGGATCGTAAAGAACTTGATCTTTCCCTTTTGCTGTCAACCATACGTGTTCATTTCTACCTGGTGGCATCATCGATGTGGGAATGCTTGGTCCTACTTTTAATAATGTTGGGGTCCAATTACTGTAATCCATTGGAGGAGGCTTGAACTCGCTAGCGTTACTACTAAAGTTGAAAACAGTGGAATTCTTTTTTGTATTGTGTTGGTGTAATTCCTGTTGATGCTCAAATTTAGTACGTGTTGAGTCAGCAAGGTAATTCAAAATATTTATTACTTCAGTTTTATGTTGATCTCTGTTTGAATCAGTTGAGTTTGTAGGATATGCGATAAATTTAGAATTAGCGCTGAAGCTGTCATTTGTTTGTACAGTGTTAAGTACTGTTGTATTAATAGGGTTATTTCTGTTTTCGGCAACTTTGTTATCTTCCTCAAACTTTACATCCGTTGCATTAATATCAATCAGTGACGATTGTACCACTGTTACTGGATGCTCTATGGTCGATAAATAACTTGCTACTTGAATGCTTGGTAGTACTTGAATATTGTTTGGTTGTACTGGAGAATTTTTATTTTCTTGTTGTATCGAATTAGAAATAAAGTTGACGGGTTTACGGACTGGTACTACTTGGGATGCACTTAATTGAGGGAATGGTATAGGGTTGATGAATTTATAAAAGCCACCATGTTGCCTGGCCATGGTTCTCTCTGTTGCTAAGCCAAAACCATTAAAATTGTTAGAATGGTGATGTAAATTTCTCGAAAAATGTACAGGTGCTATTTGTAGGGATCCAGAATCTGATGTAAATGTGTACTGACCACCACGACCCGGTATAAACCGAGAACTCTTATTTTGTTCGGAAGAGTTAGAAGTTGTGTAATCAGGATTGTGATTATAAGGTATTTGCAGTGAACTGGTATGTTTTGATTCTGCTGTTATTTCCTGATCACCCGTATATGAATTAGACGTATAATTTGGTATGACCGATTGTACGGCATCAACTTCTCCACTTTTAAATATATCTCTTTCTAAAGGTTGTATTGTTTGAGAAAACTTCTCTTTTTCTTCGTTTAATTTTTTAACGGCTCCTTCTGCAACTGGAACATACAGTGCAAATTTCGATTCTTCCGATGCTAACGCTTGTTCGCCGTTTTGATTTTCATAATCGGATACCGAATTCTGATCTTTCAGAGCATCATCGTAACTGGAAACGGAAGGATTGTGACTACTGCTTTCAATGTTGATCTGTATTTCTTTAGAAGCCACCACGTTCACTTCTTGACTTTCTTGAGGCGTTTGATAACTGTTAACTGGTTGACCTATTGGAGGATATTCAGGTAATGGCGGATTTTCTTCGACAGGAAGATTAACAGATGGGATATCATAAGGCGGTTGAAAAGGAGGAGGCTTCATACCGATTGGTTCGGATGAAAGGATATTGGTATGGGAAACTGGCGTCCCATAACTGTTTACGAGTGGAGGGCTATAGTCCTGTGATGGTAATGGATAATTTTTTTGAAAATTATTCGGTTGACCGCCAGGGATAAAAGACGGCAGGCCGTGGGTAGACGACGAGTATGGATCATAATTTTGGTTTAAAGGTATAAGTTTCATTTTCGGTGGTACACCATACGTCCGTATGGAAGGTTGTCCATAATGTGGTTTGGGAGGAACTATTTGATTTAGAAAAGGTGGTGAAGCATAATTTGTTTTAGGGGGTGGAATAAAGCTAGGTTTTGGCGGCGGCGGCGCCCCGTAGTTCGGTTTAAGTGGAGGAAATCCGTAATTTGGTTTCGGAGGTCCATAATTTGTTTGAGGTGGGGGACCATATGCTTGTGGAGGACCATACGTTTCAGGCGGTGTTAATGGTGGTGGACCATAGTTTGGTTTAGGTGGCGGCCCATAGTTTTCTGGAGGTGGTGGACCATAATTTGAAGGTGGTCTAAAGCTTTGAGGTAGTGGCGGTGGTTTCATACCGGTGATTTCAACCCTTTGCACTGGATTATAGATAGACGATGAAGGCGGTAAATACTGAGGAGGTTTAGAATTTGGTTGAACAAAACCAACTATAGCATTATCCCCGTAATTTGCTAACACCGGTATCCAAGGGACTTTGTTGCAGGGATTGCAACTAGTATCACCTGGTATTGAATTGGCAGCTTGAGGTAAAGACATAAAGCCATTAGTATAATATCTATTCGTTTCAGATGTTGTTAAGTCATCAGTATTGCCGAAAGGAAATAACCAATTGGTCATTTTAGAGAAGAAGGAAGGATCATTTTTGGCTGGTGAAGGTGTTTGAGCTAGCGTTAGCGGCAAGCTGAACAGCAGTCCAAGGACCACCTGAAACAAAAGGAAAACCGGTCATTAAAAGGTAAGTGAATTCGAGCTAAAACATCGCGTAGGAAAAATTTCCATTGAACTTCAATGGGAATCAATGGAAAATTCAAAACCCTCTGGCATAAATGGAAAAATAATTGCTTCCATTTACAATAATTTCATTAATATTCAAATAGGAAAAATTTCAATTGATTTTCAATGGGAACCAATGCAAAATTTATAAACTCTATTTAAAACCATTCAATATACATGGAAAAACAATTGGGTACCTAAAAATGAAGAACATGTGGTTTGAGATGATTAAAACTTATTAAAAAAAATGGAGAAAAACGTGCTAAAGTTAATGTGATTGTCAAAGCAAATTTTAAAAACAATAAACAAGACATTATTTGATATAATCATTGTCATGTAATTTATATTTGTTTTCATCGAAAAACCTCATATTTCATCTTGATTAAAAGAATGTCATTTAATTACCACTAACAATAATTAAAGGTAAAAAATAAAGAATTGACACTAGGATTTTCATTGGATTCAGGAATGGAAGTTCCAATGGAATGCAACGGAAATCCCATTGAGTTCGGGAATGGGATTTCCACTAGAATTGCAGTGAAAATTCTATTCATCCCATTGGAAATTACCAATTTATTACCATTAATTATTATTAGTGGTAATTAAATGGCTTTTTTTTAATGGAAATAGAATGGAAATTTTTCCTACGGGATCCAATTAAAGTAATTGTAATGTATTTCGCACTGCCAAAGGAAACGGGATTCAATCAAATCACTCACTTAGAAACTTCAAATATGGAATGTTTATTAAATTAATAAATTATATTGAGCCATAATAGTTCTTATTCAAAAATATCTAGATATAGATATACAAATATATCTTACAGGATGTTGCTTAGTTTCATTTATATTTTTGCAAATTCTTTTCGTATTTCATAATTCCATTAGAAAGGAACTTCAAAATTATAGCCTTTGTGTTGCCAAAATAGATTTTTGTAAAAATGTTCAGCTTATTATCTGTCATTGTAACGTTGACCCTCGTTTTTGACCTAATTGACTGTTCTAGTATATTTTTGGGATGTAATATTACGAAAGCTAATATGAAATTTAGGAAAATTATATTTTTCCAATGAAAGTACACATGACCTTGTTATTACAAGCACTGTGCAAATAGAGCAGTTGATTATAAGTTTAATTCAATGTAAATCCGATATCTGATCAATTTTCCAATGTGGAAACGATATGCGGGCGTGAGTTTGCTTTTGCGGACAATTTTAAGAGGGTCGTGTTCGAGCATACGTAAAACCTAATATAACGTCGTATAGTTTGTATAGGCGCTTGAGAAAATCCGAAACTTTACATTAAGTAAGCTTCCATAGACAATAGGGTCACGGTTAAATCTGTGTTTCCTTTTCTCTTTTATCAACAATACCTACCACGAATATTTGCTATTATTACGCTTGAGAAAGGTTGCACGCGGTGAAAATGAATATTTAAATGTGCGAATGTTTATGAAGTAGAAATTGGGGACATCACTTTTAATTTTGTTTGCATCGAATTGACTACAAACAGGTGCACAATGCCATTTTCATTTTACATTCGCAATTGGTTTACATTAAAGGCAATGTACACTTAAGTGACTCGCGTGAGATGATTCCGAACCTACAAATTCATTTATATTAAGCAGGTACTTAAAAAACAAAAGACAAAAACAAGTTAAGAACAGCTTTAACCAATTTCGTATAGTAAACGTCTTTTACCAATGAAGATTGACCTAAATAAACACATTAATTGTAGTGCTTTCGAAATCTTTTTTTCATTTTTGAATTTTTTGGAAAAGGCAATGGCCTTAACTAGACAAGAAGTTTCCTGATAATGGAGACCTCAGAGTTCAAATGAAAATTTGGTAAAGATCTGTAATGATATCTCTATTTAGTACTGTGTTTCCATTATTTCCCGATGAAGAAGATAACTGTTCTGTATTTGTATATAAATAAAAATGAATGGCTAAATGTGTTGCTAAGCGTAAAACTTGAGAACGGCTAGACCAATTGCGAAATTTTTTCGTCCGAATCCGTGAAAGGTTAAAAGTAAAATTCGGAAAATTGCCCAGAAAAACGTAAAAACCTTACAAATATAAGGACGAAATTACAGTAGCCCTTCTACTGTCGTTTTATCCGAAATACACTGAACATTACATATTACGTTTATTTTGTAAGTTTGTATAACCTGACGTAAAGGCAAGATTGTCTCTACAAAATAATTAACAACAGCGCAATTATGAAGATTAACGATAGCTGGTGCAGATTGTCAGATTAATAATAAATTACATGAGCAAAGTAACAGCTAATATATTAATGAACTGAATATACGTATAATTAATAGATAATCTGTTTAGATAGCATTTCAGTAGCATCTAATGTCGTTGTTAAACGTGTATATAAACGTGTAAAAGAACATTAAAATTAAATTAATATAAAAACATATTATGTTTTACAACCACACAACATGTACTACAACTTTATGAGTTTTATGTTTCCTTATATTGCATAGAATGCTACTTAATTCTTTATTATTTCCTCATGATTTATTTAAAAATAACTTCTTCATTTACATATGCTACAACTACTGGAAAGTCATTATTCAATTTACCTCAAGCACAATCTGCGACTTTCGGAAGACATCGATTACCTACAATAATAGTTTGTGTGTACATAAGCCAATAAGAAACGAACGAAATGATAAATTACTTATCGATAAAATGACATACACGTATACCGTTCTCAATATGATTTATGCATTATTTAGCTAAAATGATTTATATTATGGACAATTTTATTGTAGGTACATACCTATTTAACAATATGTACCTAGAGTTTTCATGAATATTTTCTAAACATATTAAGTAAAGGAATTTACCTGTAATTAGGTTATTAGTTGAAAAAAACCTTTTTAGAGTGAGCTACACTAAATATATTTTCATACGATAAAAATTTATAGTTTGCATGTCGTAATAATTCATTGACTCAAATGTCTAATACCTTGAGAACGATTTACGCCTAAAAATAAAAATATCGATGTCGATTTAAAAAAATATCTTGTTGTCTCTGTATTGATTTTGATTCTGCTCATTGTGGAATGAGAGTTAATACAGATGAACACAGACTCAATGTAAAATATTGAAACTCTCAACAACAAAATGTACCTTATTACGAAATTATGCTTTACTTTTCAGCAGTAGAATCTCTGTTGTTTAATATACAACTTATATGTATAAGCAAAACATTTAATCTACAGTACCATCAAATTCGAGAAGAAGGACAATTACATAATACAGTTGCTAATCTGACACCAGGATTGATGGTACGAACTTGTCAGCACAATTTAGTTTCCGTACAAGTATCTGGAGTAATAAATGATCCCAAAATGTAATCCATTACTAGCCGCTATTGTTCGCAATTCCTATATTAAAAAAGCCTTAAAAATAAAGTTAATTTCGAAAAATCTTGCTATCAAAGTTTTCAGCTTATTTTTTTCTTATAGATGTATTGGTATTGAAACATTCAAATGAGTGCTCTCATTGATATAACATTCATCATCATAAGGTCATCAGTCTTAAGACTGGTTGGACACGTACCTCCACTCTTTCCTATCCTGAGCTAAACTTCGCATTTCCCTAAAACTAGAACAGCCCACATCCTTAACTATTTGCGAAGAGTAATCTAATATAGGCCTACCTCTACCCCTGCTAACTCCTGTTTCTGCCTCTAATATGTCTCTGACTAGACCTTCATGGCTGAGAAGGTGTCCTACCAACCTATCTCGCCTATTTTTTATTGTCTTCCATAGAGTCCTCTCTTCTCCTATTCTTTCCAATACCTCTTCATTTCTAACCTTTTCTACCTACGATATCCTCATCATCCGCCTATAACACCACATTTCGAACGCTTCTAACCTTTTCTTTTCCGCCGCTCCCACTGTCCATGTTTCGCACCCGTACAACGCCGTGCTCCAAACATACACCTTTAACAACCTTTTTCGAATTTCTAAAATTGTTTACTCATTGATCTTTTTGGAAACGTTACAAATTTATCTATATTTAATGTATTAATTTGCGCAAAGCATCAAACCATTTTTTAAAACGACATCCGAAAGGCGTTACTGTTCACTATTCGTCGACTAAGTAATTAATCGTTACTAACCTTATCAACGAATAAACAAATTCATTTATTCCTCCCAATTAAAAATCGACCCGGTACCTGCTGCTCCTTACGACTAACTATTGAACTAAAAATAAAATAAACATACGACGGATTATAATCTCCTGATACCTGCTTGAGTTTTGGACATAATTTTTTTGTCATTTAAAATTCTGATACTGAGTGTTCTGATGTTTTAGTTTTGTCATCGAAGTTTCGGATCATTTATTATTATTTACAAGGAATAAATAAAATTTTAATTTGACATTCTATGTTACAATAATTATATGTAGGTAAATTTAAACCCATATCAAAAAAGGACTTCTCAGTGTTTAGGGTTGTGATCCTGAATCCCTAATTTTCTATTGTTTCCTGTTTATAACGGAAAAGGAAAACAAGTTTAATTATGTATTTATAAACAGTCAACAAAGAAAGTTAACAAATGATGAAGTAAGTAGTCATTAGAGCAGCGTGGAGCAATATTGTTTAAACACAATAACATGCAAATCGTTAATGGAAGCGTGATCTTCAAAGTGGTTGTAGGTCAAACCAGGTATGCAGGCTAAATTTCGTTAAACAAGTTCACACACAACATCTGCTATTAATAAAGTTGTAATTATACGATGCAGTGGCTGTACGCGAAAAAGTGTGTTCGTGTTCATCATCCACTACACATAAAGGCAAGCGATGAAAACGATAAATTATCTACCTACTATTATGTGCTCTTTGTGTTGGAATGAAATGCAATTACGCATATGCAATTAGCTAGGTATAGGTCATTCGTTTTATTATT